CGGGGAGGGTAGAGTGGAAGAGAGAGGCAAAAAAAAATAAACTAAAATAGAAAGTAAGAATAAATCCCTAATGGCGAGAAAGCAGATTTTTTTATTTTATTCATACTTGAAATGATGGAAATAAATAAAAGAAATAGCAAAAGAGATACAGCTTACACAGTGGGATTCTTTTTTTTATTTTACACTGAAGGTTGGCCAGTTTCTGTACAGTCGAAAAGGCACAGAAGAGGGAGGAGAGAGGAAGATACAGTGTTCACCCCACGTCCTGCGAGCAAAGGGAGAGCTAGGAGCAAAAGGTTAAAGGGAAACTGGGCGAGAAGGACAGGACCGTGTACTGAGAAACAGCCAGCAGCTTGGAAAAGATGGGTTGTCCAGCGTGACGAAGGTGTCTTTGGAGGAGTGAAGCAAAGACATTTATCTGCACAGAGATAAAAGAAAGGAAATAAAAAAAATGGCATCATGGATGGCGTGGAAGAGGAAGCAGCAAGGGAGAGGAGCAAGACAGGAGAGAGGCAATAGGTCAGAGAAACAAAGCCGGCTTTGATCAGAGGATTGCTCCTGCTGTAATGACACATTTCACAGCTGGGGCTGTCAGCCCTCCCAACTGGGGGGGGGGGCTGCCAGAGCCAACATTTTTCAGTACCTCCAAACACTGCACTCAGAACATGCCTTGCTCATCATGACAAATTTATGCAAATCAGCCTGGGAGGGAGGGGACTTTGAGCTCATGGGCGTCTTAATTGCACCCCCCCCCACTTTAGAGTGACTGGGGTGACAAAGAAAATGACCATCAGTGTAAAGGGTGCAGGGTTGGTTGGAGGGAAGAGGCCAATTGCCTCCACAAGCACTCTTGGCAGGTATTTCTTTTTAATATTCACAATTAATATTCACTTTCAAAACATATACAAAAACAGTGTTAAAAACATCTATTTCTGCAGCTTGATTCAGAGAAACTCTTGGCACACACCATTCTAAGAGCCAAAAGCAGCCTGGTGCTCTCCAGATGTTGATGGACTCCAACTCCCATCAGCCCCAGCCAGAATGGCCAATGGCCAGGAATAAGGGGAGCTAGAGCCGAACACCGCAGGGGGCAGACCAGGGTGGAGAAGGCTGGCAGACCCTCATCCACACACCTGCTATTTCAAGCCAGGCATATCCAACTTCCTCACCTGCCTTTTCCAAATTCCCTCTCAGGCAGGACCTGGAAAAAAATCTCTACTTTCTCTAGCCAAGAAGGTTATTGTGTTAGTGTGCAATGTTCAGTCAATATGCAGAAATTTAAAAGTACTGAAATTTTGCAAAGAAGCTAGCCATGCAATTTGGGAAGTAGGTTGAGATTTCCCCTTTTGCTGTTTTTAAATAAGTTAGCAAATTTCTTGTTACGAGTTCTCAGTACAGGACAGTTGACTTCTGCTCAGCATTTCTTAAGACATTAAAAAGCAAATCCACCCCACAGACTCAAACTCCCAGCAATTTCCACTATTTATGGGCTACTTGGGTGTTCTAAGACTCAGCTCTGCTGGTACATTATTTAAGCAATTTCTATGCCTTTTTCCCTTTCCCTAACTAAAGAATAATTATTTCAAAGAAACCTGCATTCCATCTTTAGACCATGCCCAACCAGTGGGAAGCAGGCAGAGTGTGAAAGCAGCAGCTCCCTTTGGCCGCTGGATTACACCAATCCTAAGACCCCAAGATCTCTCCACAGAAATAAGATATATGGACTGCAATAAACTGCAAACTCATCCTGAGCTGAGTTTTTTTTTTGGGGGGGGGTGAAGGAAGCCAAGATCACCAGATCTCTCACTTTAAAACTCCTTGCCATGTTCTGATAATCTGAGAGTCTGAAAAAAATGGGAAGATGTCACTGTTCTCCTAGTGTCCAGCCAGAGGCCTATTATGGGAAATCTGCAAAGCGGGATCCCAGGGCAACACAGCAACTCACCCCACTTGTGAGTTGTAGCAACTGGTATTCAGAGGCATGTCTGTCCTGAATCTCCCAAGTGTCATTGAAGATCCCTGAGTGCTCCTGTGCAGCCCTTATTTCTCTTAAAGCAACATGCACCAAAGTCTGTTAACTACACTGAACCTCTTGCATAGCAGGAATGCACGAAATAGTGAAGCTAAATGATATTGAGAAGCAGGATTCAATAAGTGTGTGGGCTGTTTTTAAAAGCAGGTGGCCCGCAGGCTGCATAGTTTATCCAACCTGAAGTATGTTTACTAGGAAGTACATTCCACTGATTTCAACTGAGTTCATCTCCTAGTAGTGGAGGTTAGGAATGCAACTGTAGAAACTTACTAAATTTAGGAACAGAACTTTAGAAATGCTGCAACAGAAGAGAACTTGAAGGAGAAAGACTCCCAAAAGGGTGTAGGGAGAGAGCAGGATGGACACACACTTAGGCAAAAATGAGCCTTGTAGGAATGTCAGATAAATTCATCAATCCAAGCATGAAACTTGCCCACTCTTTATTGCGATAGAAAAAACTCAAAGACCATTGAATTTCCCTCTCACTGAATTTCCCTCTCGTTAAGAGAGTCTGGTAAGTTGCCCAGCAAAAAGAATTGCACTGGGTGGCTAGGGGACCTCACAGCTGATTGCCAATAATTGTGTTATGAATTTGGCTGCCAGCCAATCTATTGCTGACTAGGAATGCCTTGTGCTCGATGAAACCACGAAACTGGCATGGAAATTATTAGGAGACATTTAACAAACTCTCCAAGATTTTAAAGGCTGGAAGCTTACTTTTATTTAAATCGTTTCCCCCCCCACCCCTGATGCTTCCATCAGACCACAGCCATGCCAGCACCAGGCGTGTGGAGAGGCCAGCCCTGCACTAAAGAGTGAGCCAGTTTAACCTGCAAGGCTGCAGCAGCGAGGCGCCTCAGGGGCAGAGGGGCAGGCAGAAACAAGAGGCCAATTACATGGAAGTCATGTCGTTGAGAGCGTGATCCAGCTCCTCGCTGATGGCCTTGTACTTGAGTTTCTGAGCATACAACTCATCTGAGAGTCACCAAGGGGAAGGCAGAAGAAGTGGGAGGAGGAGGAGGAGGCAGTGACCAAGGGTGATGTGGAAGCAAAACACCGTCCAGAAGTCATGGCAGCCAGAAGGGGAGAGATGGAGGTGTGTGGAAGGCGGCAGCGTGTGGAACAGGAGAGGTGTGAGAGAAAGCAAAAGAAAACAGATGAGTCAAATGGGTTCAAAAAGAATTCAAGCGGTGGAGTTGCTAGATGGGGGTAGAAATAATAACAATACAGCATTCCTCAGCAAGAAAATGGTGGGAAGCAAACATCAAAGTGATACTGCAAAAACTCTCCTAGATGCTAGCTTTCCATTAAACCTGGATAAAACTTGTTCCCACTTTTCTACATGCATTTGAGCGGTTCCATCTCTGCAGCCAAAAGTTGTACAGTTTAGACCAGCCTTCTCCAAGCCAGTGCCCTCCAGATGCTTGGACTACAATATCAGCTCCAGCATGATGCAACTGTGCTGGCTTGGGGGGGGTGTTAAGAGTTGTAGCCCAAAACATCTGGAGGGCACTGGCTTGGAGAAGGTTGGAGAAGTCTGTGGCCTAGACACAGCTTGAAGCAGAAGTTGTGCAGCCCCCCCAGGAAGGCTTTCCTACCAGAAACACACTGGGGCACCAGCATTTCACCAGAGGGAACATTTTTCTCCAGGACTTGTCAAAGTCCTTATCTCTCCTACTGCTCCTTCCGATTCTGTCATTGCATCAAGGGGCTTGAACTCTTGGACCTGGTGCCACTGTCACAGGGTCAGACAGCAGATTGGCTCAGCAGAAAGAATAGCGCTGAGGCCCAAGGGGCTCTGAAACCAAACTCCTCCTTTCCCCCGGAGATGTAGGCCAGAAGCACCAGAACCCACAAGCTGGCAAAGTCCAAGTCCAAAACATTCTTCCAGTGTAACAGCAGACAACCCCTTCCCATGCAGCAGTTCCCTACAGAATGAGAGCAGGGTCAGGCCTCACACCCCAACAAGAACAGGAAGACTTGAGGGAAGGCTCTCCAGCAACTACTTCCATTTCCCCAAGTGTTCAACCAACACAGAAGAAAATTCCAAGGACTTGGGAAGACCTTGGAAGCAAAGGGTGCATGCAACTGCTAAACAGATGCTCCCCATTAACACACAAGCAAGGCTTCAAATGTCGCTGACAGTGGAGTCAGTAGGTGCCACCAAATGGCTGTCTTGACCTTCATTCATCATCTCCATCAGAAAACTATGTCAACTTGCAACATTCCTTATGGGAGAAACTGCAATGCATCCCTTGGCTGACATTTTCAGCCAGTGATCTTAAGGCACTCATAGCATTTCCTATCTGACTTCTTCATTTTTTTACAGTGGAATATTCCAGAAGGACCAGGAGGAGGAAGTGGAGTTCAATATTCAAGAGAATGAAGAGAATGAAGGGACAGAGACAAAAGAGAAAGATGCAAAAGCAAAACCTTCTGTCTAAAGCCAGTTATCAAACATCCTGAAACTCCATTTTCAGTCAATTGTTATTCATCTGCCCTGTTCATGTGTTAAAGGTAAAGGTTAAGTCCTGTCAAATCTGACTATGTGGAAACACCATTTACCTTCCTGCCACAGTACTTATTTACTCGTGCTGGTGTGCTTTTGAACTGCTAGGATGGCGGGAGCTGGGACAGAGCGACAGGAGCTAACCCCGTCACGGGGATTCAAACTGCTGACCTTCCGATCAGCAAGCCTGAGAGGCTCAGTGGTTTAGACCACAGCGCCACCTGTGTCCCCTCCTGTTCAGCCAGCAATCTTCCTCCCTTGCCTAGTGGTCACTTCCGTTCCAGACGCAGTGATGCTAGGGAGGTCTCCCAACCTCTGCTGCCTGGCACTTATCCATGGCAGATGTTTACCAGTATTGACCAAAAATTAGCAATTGTCCACTGTAAGTGCCTACTTCAAAGACGGAGTTTGCTGTCTCAGCCTTCTAGGTTAGCAAGGGATGCAAATAAAGAAACGTACCTTCTAAGTCATCAATGCTCTTCTCCAGCTTAGTTACCGACCTCTCTGCAAACTCAGCTCGGGTCTCAGCCTGCAGGCCAAGAAAACACACAAAGGCAATGGTCAAAAAGCACAAGGAAGGTCTAGGAAAGCTTCTGCATTGTGCAAAGAGGCTGGGTGGCGGCAGCAGCAGCAGAATCTTCCAAAACAGAGTGGGAAACCTGCTCCAACTACAACAATATAGCATTTCAATTATTTTTATTTATTCATGTTGTATCTTGCCCTTCCTACCAAAGGAGCCCAGGGCAACAATTATATTTATAGGTGACATCCAATTACATTATGCTCAGAGTAGAACTATTAAAATTTATGGACCCAAAATCAATGGCCTAAAATTGGATGCAGCCCTCTGTTTTTTAGTACATGGAGCCCCCAAAGGACATTTTCTGGTCAGAATGGAAGTTTCCCAACAGCAGAGCAAAGCTCTCATGCCCTCCACTTGGGCAAGAAATAAGATTCTTCATGGTGTTTGGCCAAAATCTCTTAAAAGCTGCAGGGAAAAGAAGAGGGTTGGCTTCTGTCCCAAGGATACAGCGGCATTTTTACCTCTTTCAGTTTGTCAGTAAGGACCTTGATCTCCTCTTCATACTTGTCCTCCTTCTGCGAGTACTGTAGATTAAGCAGACCAATGGAAGGTCAACTGAGCAGACATGGGCAGCACTGAGGTGGCAACATCCAATATCTTTACAATCACAAATTGAAAGACCACTAAAAATAACTGCATGAGAGGAAACCAGCAAAACTGCAATGCCAGGAGTAAGTGTTCAGATTTCATTGTGCAAGCCCAAGCAATAGCCTGTTGTAAGCTAAATGCATGAACAGTGGAAAAGCTTATAACAGGAATGGCCCTTCAAATATTGCTGGACTCCCAAATCCCACCACCACTGACCATTAGCCACACTGCCTGGGTCACTGGCTCCCCACCCTGGCTTATAGCTCTGGCTCAAACCAGCTGTTTCTGCAGGACTGCACAATCTCCCTCATGCCGGGGGGTGGGGATCTGGAAAGAGGTTTGCACTACAGCACAGAACTCCTGACACAGGATGATTAAAAGATAGCCTATTGGGTTCCTTGTTCAGCTTCATAATGCTACAAGCCACAGTCACAGTCTGTTCTTGAAAGCATCCATTGCCGATTCTCAGAAATCCAGTTAAAGGGTCAAAGACACACAGCTTTCATCTGGCAACAAGTGACTGTTGACACAGGCTTTTGCTCTACCTCTCTTTTTAGAATAGTAATAAGAAATCCACTTTGCAACCCTAAACAAAACTGTTATTATACTATTTTATTATTTTATTGATCTACAGAATGCTTTTACAGTTCTGTTTTACTGTAGGTCTCAGCAAAAAGAGCAGTGCTTTGCTTGCAGAAGATCTCAAGTTCAATCCCCGACACCTCTCAGTTAAACAGATCTCAAAACAGAAGGACATGGAAATGTGCTTCTTTGCCCAGGACCTGACAGCAGCCCTCTGGACACAGCTAAGTAGAGGAAAGAGTCATCTGAAGTAGCTTCAAAACCCATCCAATCTGTATTGTATTCACTGCAAGTATCACCTTGGGAGCTTTGGGTGATTAAGGTCACATTCACACCATACATTAGAAGTGCAATGATACCACTTTAAATGGTCATGGCTTACCCCAAGGAATTTTGGGAGCTGTAGTTTGTTAAAGGTGCTGAGAGTTACTAGGATACTTCTATTCCCCTGCACAGAGCTACAATTGCCAGAGCTCCCTGTGAAGAGGGATTATTAAGCCACTCAAGGAATTGTAGTTTCAGGAGGGAAGCAGGGGTCTCTCCTAACTACTCTCAGCACCCTTAACAAACTGCAGCCCCCAGATTTCTCTGAGGGAAGCCACAACTGTTTAAAGTAGTACCCTAGTGCTTTTAATTGTATGGTGTGAATGTGGCATTAGAAGCATCAGAAATAAGTGGCAAGTAAAATATATTAAAAAAGAGTACTTGGGAAGTAAATTCCCCACTGGAGGCAACAGACTTACTTCAGAATAAACATTCTGACAAGTGGCTTGGAAAGCCCATCACGTAACATTTGCACCTTTCGCAGCTAGACCATACCTTTTCTGCCTGAGCTTCCAGCGACCTCAGGTTGTTGGTCACAGTTTTCAACTCCTCTTCAAGTTCAGCACATTTGCTATTATTTTGGAATGGAGGGAGGAAAGGGGCCAAGAGGAAGAACAGTCATTGGGGGAGGAGGGAGGGAAAGAGAGGGAAGAAAAGATAGAGAAAAATGAAAACTGAATCTCAGAGCTTAAGAAAGGGCCTTGAAAGAAGCTGAACCCGCTTGAGATCAAAGAGATAAATTAACTGCAGAACCCAAAGTTGCTTTGAAGGACTCCAAAATATTGTCCACAGATCTGCTATGCTACTGGGGCATCACACACCTGCTCTGGGTTGGGTGAGTCAAGAATCCCTGGTGGAAAGGCCCCCAAACGAACGCTGCCACATTTCAGCAGGGCCAAAATGGCGATTTTCAAACTGTCTGCAGAGCTGCAACAATCTTCTGTCTGGATTTTCCATGGAATTCTCTTTCTGCACTCAGGAGCCAATGCAGATGTGACTTGTACAAGCACAATTGTGGGTTTTAATTGATTCAGGTTGATTTATTGATTCAGGTTGATTCAGAATGATTTATTCTGCCAATGCCAGATGTTTTGGACTACAGGTCCCAACAGCCTAAGTGGCAGGTGTAGTCCAGAACACCTGAGGGCCGACTTATCCAAAACTCTTCAACCAACCCAGGAGGTTCAGCTTCTTCTTGGGGCTCAATCAGCTACAAAAAAGGTTAAGCACACACCTGTGCACACACACGCCGGCATCCACACCAGAGACGAGAGAAAGCAAACACAGGAGAGGAAGGAGAAGGATAAAGGGGAGATCCAGCCACTACTGCTAAGAGGCATCTAACTAGAAGGTCAGGGTAGCCAGGAGATTTGGGTGGCAGCTAAAAAAACCTGATCATTCGGTTCACAGATACAGAGGTATGTTGTCTCCAGTACCTTCTCCTCAGCAGCCATTAATGCTTTCAACGTTTGATCCATTATCCTTAACTGTTCCTCCAGCTGTCGGGCTTGGCTGTTAGTGAACACATGAAAATGCACAAGAGCCATTCACAAAACAATCCGTGTGCGAGTAAAAAAGCATGCAGTGACCCAGACCAAATAAGAGAGGCCCCCAGAGGAAACGATTCAGACACCACGGAAGCGCACAGACGTACGCAGGCGCAACGACACGCACACACACTCAGGCGTGCCAAGGCATGCAGCAGACCCCCGCAGCTGCCGCTGGAAGATAGCCAGTCACCATCCCGCACCAGACACTCATGTACTGCGACATAAATCACACTTGCCGCACGGACCCCAGATCCTTTTTCTAATCGGCCAGGAGGTGGCCCCTACCTTTCTGACAGTTCAGCCCGCTCCTCCGCACGCTCCAGGTCGCTCTCAATGATCACCAGCTTACGAGCCACCTATAGCAATGGAGAAAGCAGAAGGAGGGGGAGACTCAGGGCCCAGCAGCAAGATGGAGACTGCGATGGAGAATCATCTCCCAACAACATCTGGAGGGCAACAGGTCAGGGAAGATTGCCCCAAGTAACTGTGCTGACCATACTTGAGACATGGAGGTGGAGAGGGAGACCATTTCAGAAGGCAGGAAGCCAAGGTCAAGTCCCCAGCTTCAGGAGATGGTGTACAACTCCCAGAGATCCTGCCCTTGTGAAATTTCAGCACACACTCTCAAACGCTTGCTAGGCAAAAGGCATCACATTCCGCCCCGCTCTTGTGGGCTTCCTCCACAAAGCTTCTCCGCTCAGATCCTTGCTGTCTCTCAGTGGGTCACCCTGCCACCCCATGCCTTCTGCAGAGCATCTCAGGTCTCCCTACTCACTGGTCCTCCTTGGAAACAGCAGCCAAACCGAATAACCTCCCAAGGGCCCCCGGCTGCACTCAAGTACCCACCTCTTCATACTTGCGGTCAGCGTCCTCAGCAATGTGTTTGGCCTCCTTGAGTTGGATCTCCTGGATCTCCATCTTCTCCTCATCCTTCAGGGCTCTGCTCTCAATGACCTTCATTCCTCTGGAAGGCAGAAATTACAAGGGTTGGAAAACAGCTTGCTATTGAAGGCCCAGTTGTGTCTCAACAATTCTGCTCCCCCTCACCCCCCAAAAAAGTTAATTCTGTGACCTGTAGGCAAATCAGCATGGCCTCTCTGATTTTGCCTAATTTATGCTTCCTTGGATAGTCCTGCAATATAAAGCACCTGCCTCCGAAATCTTCTGCAGCCATCTCTCTGGCTAGGGAAGTTTCAACAATTTTAAAACGCTATGAAGGACTAGAAACTTCCCACAAGTGCCTTCCCCCCCCCAACTCATTGCACTTTTGGGTACCAAAATTAAACTTCAAGATAGTCCAGCTATCTAGTACATGTATGGCTGCCACTCACTCGTATGGGAAAGAACAATTTGGTGCCTCTGCTCACAAATACTTTGCAGGTGTGTAAAAGGGTACTAACTTCCCTTCAAAACACACAGCTACTTACAACAACAGGCTATTTGCTAGTTTGCTTTTTTTTTAACCCAATGTTCAGGGAATTCCCATTTGCACAGGGGTGGCGTTCTGAGGCACTGTATGCATCAAGAGGACTGTGTAAGCCAGCCCCACACCCTTCTGGGGCTGAAAATGGTGTGCAGGTCAGTGGTCATGCATGCCTCAAATGCACACAAAGGGGGAGTTAACTGTATAAATTTGGAGAAATTTAATAAAATAATACCCTGGTGGACTGGGCCCCATGTCGGAGTGCGTGTGCATGTATGTATGTAGTGTCCACATTCGCACCATACAGTTGAAGCATAATGATACCACTTTCAAAGGTCATGGCCACCCCCCAAAGAATTCTGGGAGCTGTAGTTTGTTAAGGGTTCTGAGAGCACTTTGGAGATCTCTATTCCCCTCAGAGAGCTACAGTTCCCAGAATGGTTTAACAATCCCTCTTCTCAGGGAACTCTGGGAGGATACGGATGTGTGAAGATGCCATTCAGGTGCCCTCTTGCCAAGATATGCTGTGCATTAGGGTACGTGGCCCAACACAACCAAGGCTAAAAGGCCCAACACAACACAAGCCAGGCCACAACAGCTATTATGCTCCTGCCTCCCAACTGAGGTGGTTTTTTTTGGGGGGGGGTTTGAGATTGGACAACAGTTGGAGGGCTATCCCCACCTTTCGCTCTCATCTGCCGCCTTCTCAGCCTCCTCCAGTTTCTGCAAGGCTGTTGCCAGGCGCTCCTGGGCACGATCCAACTCTTCCTCTACCAGTTGGATACGCCTGTTCAGAGAAGCCACATCGCTCTCAGCCTGTGGAGAAAGGAAAACGCCGTGAGTTTTGAGGGAGCCGAAGAGGTGGTTGGGAAGCACACTGTGAAGAGGAAAGCCAGCTTCTCCCCAACCTGGCGTCCTTCAGGTGTTTTGGACTACAACTCCCAGAGCTGTAAGTCTGAAACATCTGGAGGGTGCCAGGCTGGGGGGGAAGCAGACGGAAACAAAATAGGGGAAAGTGGTGTTTTGAGGGGTTAGCAGAGAATAAGCAACCAATTATTAAAGTAGAGGATTCTTTAAAAAAGCAGGCTGTGGCCATGTGTGTCCCCATCACCGCTTACCTAATCTGTTAGAATATTTCCCAACTCTTTCCTTTTCATGAGAGTTACTTCATGATATACCTCAGGCAGTCTCATCCTTCACTCACTGAGGGATCAAGAGCCACTTTCACTTATCGACAAAGGAAATGGAAACCCCCCATCTTTTAGAATTAAAACGTGAAGGATGGGTCTTATAGATCAAGGGCAAGAACACGAAGGGTGGGGAGCCGAGGCCCAGCAACTGCCCTTTACAGATGTGCTGCCCTGGATGCAACTCCTCCTGCTTCCAAAATTTAGATCAAAAGTGGCCAACACAGCACCCTCTGTATGTTCTTGGATCCCCAACTCCCACCATCCTCAATGACCGGTCATGCTGGCTGGGGCAGACAGGAGTTGGGGATCCACCAACTTCTAGAGGGCACCACGCTGGCTACCATCATTCCAGACTGCAAACTTCTTGGGGCAGAGAACTGTCTTCTCCTTCGCACCAGCCTGACATACTTCCAGACTTTTTGCTCAAATCATGGAGTAAGGACGGAATTGCATTTCCCTCATGAAAAGCTTTGGGGTCTCTGCAGGGCATAAGCAGGCCAGGGGAGTTTCTGGGAGTCCTGGACAGGACCCAAAGAGACAGCTCAGACTCCTGGCTGATTCTCCAGGGCTGGGCTGATGCTGAATCCTCAGCCAAGTCAGCAAGAGAAAAACCACAGTGCACGGGGAAGTGGCCTGCACTCTCAGATCCTCTGTGCCAGAAAGGGCACCAGTCAGCAGCTCCAACCCAACGTGTGGTGGCCCACGTGCCAAATATGTCATTCCCTACAATTTTTATTCTAACATGAAATATGAGCAAACCCGACTACCTAATTTTAAATACTTCCACAAGTTCACAGCGACATGTCAACTTTGATGGAAACTCCACTGTGTGTGCAAGAGAGCTTACTCACTAGGAAGTGGGTTTAGGACTGCAACCTAAGCCACATTTTCATGCTCTTCTGCAAACTCAGTTGCTGTGGTTTTTGATGCAAAAGCCTCACTATTGCTTAGGATCTCCAGTGCAAAAAGATCAGGAATAAATACAAGTTTCTGGAAGTCAAAAGGGCGACACCACATTTCAATGCACTGAGCTCCTGTTCACTTGGGTGGGGCCTGCACAGAATAACTTCCTGGGCCGGCATGGCTGAAGCAGAGTCCATGTGTGCTTTCCGAGGCTCTCAGTGTTACAGTACTTTCATCTCTGGGGAGGGGAAAACTGGCAAACAACCCTGGTCTCAAGTGCGGAAAAACCGATTAGGCAGCCCAGTTAATAATTACATCAAAACTGATCTCAACCCAGTTGCAGTCTGCAGTGATTAAAGGTCAGTATCCCACTTCCTGTTCCCAAAGCAGAAAGTCAGCAGAGGCTTGCTTGTAGTTTCCTTGAAAGTCCCAAAATTATGGCCTTGCTCTCCCCCCCCCCCGCCTTTCTCCCCTCTTTCTGCAAAGCAGGGCTTTTCCTTATATGGTAAAGAAAACTACCCATGACACCAGAGGGGCACTCCCAGGGCTAGCCGATAAACACAAGTTTCTGGTCTGTGTTTGCTCATAGTTTCACTATGAGAAAGAAGACCAGGGATTAATGATTGCTGCTGGGCTTGACAGCAACTATTTCCCTCCCCCTCCAGTCGCCATTCTGAAGTGAATGGGAAGGGAACGGCACCCTCCACCCTGCAGAGACTCCCCTTCAACAACTCTGCTAGTTACCTGATCTCTCTGTTTTAAAGGAGTATCCTCACAGGATTTGGAATTTGCACAATACACTGGCCATTTCTTACAGCCTGGCCTCTTAAGTGCTTGCCTGCTCTCCAGCCCTGCACTCCCATTCTGCAGCAGGCTAGACAACATTTTTACAGACTATCAACTTTTGTGGACTTACTTAAACGACCTTGGCTTTAAAAGTCCTTGGGTTGATTATATATCTCCACCCCCCCCACCCCCCCAGGATGGCTTCTACATTATTTTCAAGCTGCCGGAATTTGTTAAATGGGTTGATCTGGACATGTGTTTGGGGGTTGTTGTTTTTTAAAGGAATCATGTTTGATTTAATCTGTTTTTACTATTATTTGCTGCCTCCAGTCTCTTTGGAGAAACAGGCAAGCAAGAAAAATGTAAAAATATACATACAAGGCTTTCTTAACAAGCATCATTTTCTCAGATGCTGAGATGAGCCCCCGGGCATAGGACTGCAGCCTGAATTGCAAAACAATCTAAGTCAGGGATGGGGAAACCTGGACCCCAAGTCCCAGCAGGCAGCATGGCCAATGGTCAGAGACGGCAGGAGTTGGAGTCCTGCTCCATCTAGAGCCCACATCCCCAAACAGCCCTGGCTCCGGGTTCCCCTGCCCCTCCTCTTCTCATCCCCGCCTCCCTCTGCTTTGCATGGTGATCAAGCAAACAAGTGGGTCACCTGCCATTAAGTCAAGCATCCACCCCACACGGCACCTGCCCAACTAAATGTTTGCTGCAGAGAAAAGGCCAGGATCCCAGCAGGCAAACAGGAACAGCAATGAAGGCCCCACCTGCACTATAGACTTAAAGCATCCCTTTTCATGGCCATGGCTTCCCCAAAGAACCATGGGAGCTGTAGTTTGTTAAGGGTGCTGTGAGCTGTGAGCATGCCCCCATTCCCCTCAAGAGAACTACAGCTCCCAGAGTTCCCCGAGAAGAGGGATTGTTAAACCACTCTGGGAACTGTAGCTTTGCGAGGGAATGGGGCTCTCCTAACACCTCTCAGTAGAGGACATGGGTGGCGCTGTGGGTTAAACCACAGAGCCTAGGGCTTGCTGATCAGAAGGTCGGCAGTTCGAATCCCCGCGACGGGGTGAGCTCCCGTTGCTCGGTCCCTGCTCCTGCCAACCTAGCAGTTCGAAAGCACCTCAAAGTGCAAGTAGATAAATAGGTACCGCTCCGGCGGGAAGGTAAATGGCGTTTCCATGTGCTGCTCTGGTTTGCCAGAAGCAGCTCAGTCATGCTGGCCACATGACCCGGAAGCTGTACCCCAGCTCCCTCAGCCAGTAAAGTGAGATGAGCGCTGCAACCCAGAGTCGGTCACGACTGGACCTAATGGTCAGGGGTCCCTTTACCTTTAATACCTCTCAGTAGCCTTAACAAACTACAATTTCCCGGGATCCTTTGAGAGAAGTGATGGTTTTTGAAGTGGCATCGCAGTGCTTGAAATGGAGGTGGGAGGGAGCTGCTGGCAGCCTGAACATTTTGTTGCAGGTGCCACTTTTTTCCAGCTTGTGTCTTAACAAAACAAAACAAGTCCTGATCTGAACACCTGTATGGCAACCCTGCGCATAGCAGCCATGTGAAACTCAGCCTTGTAGCAAAGGAAACCAGATTCAAAGATGTTCACATTGGTTTTTCTAAAAAAATGGTACCAACATCAATATGCATATTTACTTAGAAGTCAAGGGAGATTATTCCCATGTAAATGAACACAGGATCAGAGCTTGAATGAAACCGGTTAGCATGCTCAGGGAAGTTGCCCATCACCCAGGCATCCATGATGTCTGAGTCACCAGCTGCACCTGCTCAAGGCAGAGTTTTTTTGTGGGTGAATCTCAGACAGCATGCTTGAGAATTTGCAGCCCAGAGAGCACAACCACACACTAACAACCTGGATGAAGAGAAAGTTGCATGAAAAGCAGGGCAGGAAATTGCACAAATAGGGGTCTTTTTCAATAGTAATGATGGCTAAGTGGAATCTCCATGTTCAGTGGCAATGTGTCTTTGAATGCTACTTTCTGGGGAAAAACAGCACCAGAGTGCTACCTCCTTTGTGGACCCCCAGGAAGTTGGCTACCACAGAAACAGGATAAGCTAGAGAAGCCTTTAAAGGCTGACCTAGAAGGGCTCTCTTATGGGTGGCATACACAGAAAGTGACAAGGGAGATTGTCTTTCAGCAAATACCAAAGGGCAGGAGTCACAATCCAAAGAAACTGGGTGGTTGCGGGAGAGTTTTGTCATTTTAAGTACACTGTTAACCTGCAGAATTATCTGCCACAGGGAGCTGTGGTGTTGAGTAGCAAAGCCATTCCTTACACAACAAAAGGTGGGAGCATATTCTCCCAAATGAGAAGAGTCAGGGCAGGAGCAATGACCCCCAGATGTTGCCAGGGCTCCCATCACCCAGCAAAGCTGGCAGCCAGCATGGCCAGGGTTCAGGGAAGGTGGAGAGTAGTATTCTCGCAACATCTGGAGGGCCAAAGTTTGGCTGAGCAACTCCCCTGGCAGGCAACAAGGAATGCCATGGGGGTGCATGAATGGTCTGGCCCTCCCCATCAGCCCACTTCATTCCCACATTGGCCACGGAGAAGGGAGGGAGGGAAATCTTTTTCCATAACCAGCACCCCTCATGCCCCCATCTGCTCTGCAGAAGGCTTTTATTACTATTGCTATTTTTTGCTAGCCTACTAAGAGAACTGGTAGGACAGATGATGCTTCCATTCTGTAGGAGGCGGCAGCTATCCAATGGGCCATTGTAAGAAACAGATGCAGGGCCAAAAGGGTCTTTGGCCTGATCCATCAAAGCTATTCTTATGCTCTTTGATCTGATCCAGCAGCAGGACTCTTCTGATGTTCGTTGAGAAAGAAGTCTAGTCCAGGGTGCGGAACATCCTCCAAATGTTGCCCGACTACAACTCCCATCATCCCTGACCTTGCTGACGACTGCAGCT